GCTATGTATAGAGGGGAGGAGGAGAGAAGCTCCACTGGAGTTGTATACGGCCTTTGTTGGGAAAATTTGGCTGGGCTGCTCTTGAAAACTTGTTAAATGTCCCCTGCCAAGATTCTTGTGACCTAACATGGGTGTAGCTTTTTCCCACTGCGGGTGTCCCCTCAATTAATATTGTTCCTGCAGTTTAGGTGACAGCCCTAGAACGTGAGCAGCTCACCAGAGAGTCGTCCTCAGTTGTTTATTCCCCACGTTTTGCTTGTCTCTTGCCAGCAAACACTTCCAGCCCCTCCACAGGCAGAAAAGAAGAAAGATAAAGATATTCCTGTTTTTCCCCCAATGTGTGGATATTTGTGAGAATTTGCAGGGTCTGTGCAGTTCATCAGTACTGCTACTGCCAAGCATGAGGCTGGGGGTCGGTGCAGAGGGAGAGTTAGAAGCTGTCTTTGAATCTCAGATTTCTTTCTTAGTTGCGTCTTTTTGAAGTTCATCCCATGAGGCTGTCCTTGTTTGAATGCTGCTGGTTAAGTTTTTAATTACTTTAATGATTTGTGTTTTTGTGTAAATTGCTAGTTAGTTATTGATGATGAAGGTCTATGGTCCAGTTTCTTTACTTGGAAGTCCCTAAAGTTCTTCCTTTTCCAATTTACATCTTAATCTTTTCCCTTCCAAATGCTCTCCCTGTCCAGCATTTCAATATTATCATCTTTTTGTTTGTTTGGTTTTTTTTTTTTGAGATGGAGTCTCACTCTGTCACCCAGGCTGGAGTGCAGTGGTGCGATCTCGGCTCATTGTGAGCTCCGCCTCCCGGGTTCACGCCATTCTCCTGCCTCAGCCTCCCAAGTAGCTGGGACTACAGGCGCCTGCCACCACGCCCGGCTAATTTTTTATATATTTTTAGTAGAGATGGGGTTCCACCGTGTTAGCCAGGATGGTCTCGATCTCCTGACTTCATGATCCGCCCGCCTTGGCTTCCCAAAGTGCTGGGATTACAGGCGTGAGCCGCCGCGCCCGGCCACTATTACCATCTTTCTAGCCCCCCCAAAAGCCCTGTCTTGAGTGTTAACAATGACTTCCTCCTGACAATTTCATTTCTTCTCAGTGCTTATCCTGCCAATCCTATCCTTCCTTCAATATTTTGTTTTGCCTCTACTACCTCCCACTCCTTCCCCATGAACATGATAATTATTCATAAAATACTTGACAGAAATTGCTGGCCCCATGTAATAGTCAAGCCGGTGTCGGTTTATCCAGTAGAATCTACATGTACCTGCTTTCTGTTGAATGCTTTCACCAGGACTAAAAAATAGTTACCAAATTAGCCATGTGCCAAAATCAGTGTTAGTTTTTAAAAAATGTGTAGTGCTTAATTTAGTGTTATTAGGTGTTAATCAAAACAAGCTGTATGCGACGGACCTGACTGGCATATAGATTATTAGGAGAGTAGGAAATGAAAAAAATTCTGAAGGAATGTATTTTCTGACTGGAGTGTGGGCTTATAACCATTGCCAAGGGTCCAGATAGAATTTCATCCCCTTCATAGATTCAAAAAATTCTATTGTTTTATCAATAATTTTGGGGAGTGGGGCAGGCTCTGGTTTTAGTTTGTTTTCAGGCTTACTGCAGAGGTGACAAACTGGGGCCCTACTATCTGTTGCTAACTTTGTCAAATGATTCTAGAATCGGCTGTGAAAAATGTCCTCCTTGTTCGAATAAGATCTGTAAGTTGCTTTCACAAAACTGCCAGTACGCTGAAGGAAAGAAAGAAGACAGGTGAAAGAATCGAAAAGAGGTGGTGCAGGAAGGAATAATCATAAGAGACGTTTTTCTTTGTATTTTCTGGTGCTATAGAAAGTGGAAAAAGCTTCCGTCGTAAGTCCACTCTAGAGGTATATGCCAATTTATGAAAAGAAACAGGAAACTGGTGTTTCATGGTTAAAGATGGAATCATGGCAGGAGTCAGAAGGGCCAGTGGGTTAATTCCGTGGAGAGATGGTACAGAGACTGCTTGGATGAGACCTGCTGTCTTGAATGGGATGAAGCACAGAACAGAAGAATATCGAACGCTGTAGAGAGACATTCCCATAGCCTGTGGGAATGCAGGCCCCATGTCTTAGAGGTACCCAAGACGCCCTGGGCCTGTCATCCCCAGCAGCGCTGGCAGCCTCCAGCTCACGGCTCTGTTGCTACAGGCCTGAGCTCTGAGTTAGGAAGAGGCAGGTGCTCCAGGATCGCAGCCCACTGGGAGCAGGACAACCATCTTCCTTCAACACGAAGCAGCGTTCCCGGGGCCTCCTGTGCTTACCCTGAACTCAACACCCAATTCTGGATACCTGTGCTCTGCAATCCTGTACAGAAGGATCCGATTGTGATTAGAAAATGCAAAAGGGCAGAATTAAGGTTAACTCTGAATTTCCTGCTTCTCATGCAATTACATTCCCCCCATTGCCATTGAATTAATGTAATTTCCCCCATATAACTGAGCATAAATTACCAGGCAAATAAATATAGGATACATTAGTATGGGCTACAAGGAGATAATGAAGTAAAATTAGTAAAAAGTTATCATTACAAGTCCTTGGATTCTTTTTTTTTTTTTTTTTTTTTTTTTTTTTTTTTTTCTTTGAGATGGAGTCTCGCATTGTTGCCTGGGCTGGAGTGCAATGGCGCGATCTCAGCTCACTACAACCTCCGCCTCCTGGGTTGACACAATTCTCCTGCCTCAGCCTCCCAAGTAGCTGGTATTACAGGTGCACACCACCACACCCAGCTAATTTTTTGTATTTTTAGTAGAGATGGGGTTTCACTATGTTGGCCAGGCTGGTCTCGAACTCCTGACCTCATGATCTGCTCACCTTGGTCTCCCAAAATGCTGGAATTGCAGGCGTGAGCTGCTGTGCCTGGCCCCTACAAGGACTTGGATTTTTAAGAATCAAAAATCCTATCCACAAGCCAGAGAGAAATTAATCTACAGAGTTATCTATTAAGATATTAAATTTATAAAATATTAGATTGTGATAAATAAATGTCTAAATGGTTTTGCAAAATAATTTTTAAATAATAAGAATGATAACTCTAAGAACCTCAAGCAAAAATACTTCTTTGCATTCTAAATACTGCTCTTGTCTGCTTTGGTATTTTCTCTATATATGCAAGTGCAAGGAACGACTTCAGTTGTGAGGCATCCGTCAGTTTGGGGTTGTCCCCCCACTCCCATTTTCTTCATGTGGTCCATTTTTTTAAACATTAGTTTTATTACTGTTTGTATTGTTAATTCACGTCAAACAGCAATAAACAAAGTCTCAGAAGAACAGACATTGCAAGAAATAAATATTTAATTAATGCTCTTAATAGGGAGACTTTGTCTCTGGAAGAAACGGACTGTGACCACCCATGAACACGTAGAAACAGGACCGCCAGCTTCACTAGTGTAGCGATATTTCTATGTGATGATAGAGGAAGAACACCTCGTCATACAAATGGGTTGCAGATTTCCATTCCTCTGTAATTCTGTCTGTTCTGTAACGCGAAGATCTGTGCTACTGCTTCCATCTCGCAGATAATGGGCGTCATCAGAGTCCTGTGTGGCGTCTGTATCTACAGACGTGGTTCTATCGAGAGGCTTCAGTCTGCAGTTAAATGGGTGTCATCAGAGTCTTGTGGAGTCTGTATCTGCAGATGTGGTTCTATCGGGAGGGCCTAGTCTGGAGTGACTCTTGTCTGTCATGTTTGGGCAGACCCATTTTAAAAGATTATTTTCTGTTGATTAAAAGAAAAACTTCAAGTATAGATCTTACTTATTACTCAATATCATCAAGTTCCAAGAAAGTTAAATATTGTTCTTGTTTGTTTCATGTTCTGTATTTATCTAAAGTATATCTTATTAAATTTTCAGATGAGGAAAGGTTGACACTAGGATTACACACTTAGCAAATAAACATACAGAACAGAAAAATCAGTACAATTCAAATTTCAATTAAATAGCAAATAATTTTTTAATGTAATTATGCCCCCAATTTTACTGGGCATCTGTTCTTATCTGACAGCCCTAGTTAAGAACAAATCAAGATTCCAGAATTAAATGGGCTGGAAAAGGGGTCACAGTACTCATGGTACAAGTTAAATATAAATGAACATTTTCATATTTGAGTTTTTTAGGTCTTTATGGTTTTGTGGTTATGTTTTAAGAGTCTTTATCTTTTAGAGATATTTACTAAAACCTTTATTGATGAAATTATGTAATGTTGGGGACTTCCTTCTAAATAACAAAGGAAGAGGGAAAGGGGATAGGGCGGGATGGGCTGGGCATTGGTGGGTATGTGAAGGTTTTGTCTACTTTTGATTGTGCTTGAAATTTTCCATAGTAAAGGAAAATAAAATGTGTGTGTGTGTGTGTAAGCCATGCCTTTAGGTCTAAAAAACTTACCATCTAAACATCTGAAATGTCCGGTAACCAAGGACTTGTACAAGGGCGTGAGAAGAGGCTGCAGGTGGAGGCAGGGGCTTGTGAGCCATGCTTGGAGTTGTGGACATCTTTGTTCCTTGATGGCATATTTATCATCTCGATATTTATCTCTACCATTTGGTAGAGCAATGCAAGAGAGTTGCAGTTCATTCCCAGCCTCTAGGAGTCCAGGCATCTCTAGGGAAGGTTCAGGAGTCGGAGGCGATGGGGTAGTAGAGAGGGATAATGCTTTACTTGATGGCCAGCCTTTTGAAAATGGCTAAACGCAAAACAAAATCGACTGTTGGATTAGGTCAGAATAACAAACAGTCCACTTTTTAACGTGTTCTTGGTTTTTACAAAACAGATCTCTTTCGATGATTCGATTGAAACCCTGGGAAGTTAATAAGTCGAGTCTCTAGTCTATTAAGTCAGCATAGGTCTTGCTTCTCTAGCAGGTGAGCTGCCCGTAGCTCAGCCCCTGGCATGGTTCCAGGCAGAGTTATTTGCTGGTCATCTTTACTGGACATCTTTAATAGTTTGCTTTTTTTAATCCCAGGATTTCCTTCAAATGCTACTGGAGAACATCCCAGAAGAAAAAAGGTAAGGACCATTTAGGAATTAAGAGCCCGGTTTTAATGTTGAAAATGACATTGCCACTGCTTGGCTTGTCACAGCCTAGAAAGCTCAGTGTTTCTGTGGAATAGCGGCAGGGACCTCGTTCTGCCAGCGGGAGTACAGGGTCCTCAGCCAGACTTTGGGACAAGCCCCGGTGGATATTGGGAGCCAGTGTGCACGACCGAAGATCCCCAAAGTCAGGCCCCAGAAGTGGGATGGGAGGCAAGCCAAGCACAGTCTGTGGCCTTCGCTACTGTGGAGAGAACGGAGGAGAGGAAGGTTCGGAAATTCAGGGTAGCTCCAGTTAACGTGGCTTAATACAAGGAAATACTGTGTTATTAAAAGCAAAAATGTAGTATAGTAGTAAGAGCTTGGGATGTAAACTCAGGCCATCCTAGATTTTAAACCCAGCTCTGCCACTTCTTTTGTTTTTTGAGATGGAGTATCACTCTGTCACCTAGGATAGAGTGCGGTGGCACGATCTCAGTTCACTGCAAACTCCATCTCCCAGGTTCAGGTGATTCTCCTGCCTCAGCCTCCCAAGTAGCTGGGACTACAGGCGCCCACCATGCCCTGCTAATTTATATATTTTTAGTAGAGTCAGGGTTTCACCATGTTTTTTTTTTTTTTTTTTTTTTTTTTTTTTTTTTTTTTGAGACGGAGTCTCGCTGTGTCACCCAGGCTGGAGTGCAGTGGCGTGATCTCGGCTCACTGTAAGCTCCGCCTCCCGGGTTTACGCCATTCTCCTGCCTCAGCCTCCGAGTAGCTGGGACTACAGGCGCCCGCCACCTCGCCCGGCTAGTTTTTTGTATATTTTAGTAGAGACGGGTTTCACCATGTTAGCCAGGATGGTCTCGATCTCCTGACCTTGTGATCTACCCGCTTTGGCCTCCCAAAGTGCTGGGATTACAGGCTTGAGCCACCGCGCCCGGCGGGTTTCACCATGTTGGCCAGGCTGGTCTTGAACTCCTCACCTCAGGTGATCCGTCGACCTTGGCTTCCCAAAGCGCTGGGATTACCACACCTTGCTAATGTTTGTATTTTTAGTAGAGTTGGGGTTTCGCTATGTTGGCCAGGCTGGTTTTGAACTCCTGGCCTCAAGTGATCCACCCGCCTTGGCCTCCTGAAGTGCTGGGATTGCCACTTCTTAACTATGACATTTGGAGCAAGTCACATAATCCCTCCAAATTTTAGTTTTTTTAACCTATCTAGCAGGGTTTTCGAAAGGATTAAAGGAGCTAGCATATGTTTTTAAAGTAGGTGTTCAATTAATGATTGGTGTAGATATTATAATCATCTGTGTTTCAGGCACTGGCTCCAGGATCTAGATCCAGTAATTATTTAACTCTTACAACAGTTCTGTTCAGCATCGTCATGGTGGCGATTATTATAGCTCAGCACTGAAGTGAGCACATGCAGACAGTCATTTAATCCTCAAAACAACACTGTTTGGTCCATGATGTTTTCATCCTGATTATACCAAAAAGAGGACCAAGATACTGAGCAGCTGAGGAAGCTGCCCAGGATCTCACAGCTGTTTGCGGCAGGCTGGGATTTTAGCCCAAGAAGTCTGGCTCTGGAACCTATCTCTTATCTACTGTGTTACAAATGGGGAAACTGAGACTCCAAGATCCCTCAGCAAGCAAAACAGCATAGATGGAATGAGGCCTGTCTGGATCTGGCCGGTGTGTTTTCAGTACACGGCTCAGCACCAGCTCACCGCCCTGGAAGGAAGGAGATTCTCATTTTTGTAGGTATCCAGTTTTAAGCTGGCTGACCACCAAGAGGGTTTGCAGGAGGGTCTTAGGACCAATGTTGGGGGTTAAATACGTTCATTCCAACCCTCTCCTAATTTCCTATCTTGATTTAGGTGTTAAAAAGTGAATACCCTGAAACATAATTTCTTTTTTCTTTTTTGAGACGGTCTCGCTCTGTTACCCAGGCTGGAGTGCAGTGGCCTGATCTCGGCTCACTGCAAGCTCCGCCTCCCAGGTTCACACCATTCTTCTGCCTCAGCCTCCCAAGTAACTGGGACTATAGGCACCCACCAACATGCCCGGCTAATTTTTTGTATTTTTAGTAGAGACAGGATTTCACCGTGTTAGCCAGGATGGTCTCAATCTCCTGACCTCGTGATCCGCCCGCCTCGGCCTCCCAAAGTGTTGGGATTACAGGCGTGAGCCACTGCGCCCAGCCAACATAATTTCTAATAGCAAAATTGGTATTCAAACATTAAACGGAGGCATCTTGAGAAATTAAACATTTCTTTGAAGAAGAGTTAACATTGCTTGCCTCATTTCTGACCCCCAGTTTTAACTACGTTTTTATGCATGGAACAGATTTCCAAGTGTGGAAATGAATTCTTTGACACGGACATAGACTTAGATTCATACAAGGCCAGTGACCTCCATGTCCGTGAGCCTGTCTTATAGGCAGTGGAATTGGGTGTCTCCAGGGTGCAGCGTCAGGGCTTATGCTACCAGACTGGGTGCCGGAGATGACGTGCAGATTCAGGAGAGGATCCGGGGCTCACGAGGAGATGACGTGCAGATTCAGGAGAGGATCCAGGGCTCTTGAGGACGTGGAAGTTTTGTTCCAAGCACTGGGTTTTTGCCTGGCTTTTTCTGTATAAACTTCTCTTTCACCTTCCATTCAGAATGGCTGCAAATTCTTTCTTCAATAGTAGAAGTATTATTATTAGTCAGGATTTTCAGTACTTAACAGGGGTCTGTATTTGTGGTGCATGTGCTATTTTGGTGCATGCAGACCATGTGGAATGACCAGACCAGGGCAGCTGGGACATCAGTCACCCCAGACATCCACCCCTTTTTTACGCTGGGAACATTTCACTTCTTCTCTTCCAGCAATTTTGAACAATGCAGCAAACTCTTATTAGCTTTAAACACCCGACTGTACTATCAAACACTAGATCTTGCTTCACTGACTGTGTTTTTCTGCCCACACACACACATAAAGCAAGCCAGTGCATCATATAGGATTAACATACCCATATTTGATAAATTTCTTTGTTTCTACCCTTTCATGTTCATGCCTTCTGATACTGAAGAAATCTTATCCAGGGAGATAGCGTGGGGCCGTAGAAATTGGCCAAGATTTCTAAGGCCCCACACAGTCTCTCTGGATAAAACTTTGTCTAAGTGTTTCAGGAGGCTGCTCAAAGGAAATGTGGCTTGTTTTGGGAGGTCTGAAATGTTTTCAGATTTACTGTCTTGGAAAAAAGAAAAAAAACCCAGACATATGGGATTTCTTCATGCAAAAATCCCATCACATGTGGCTGTTAAGATCAAGAAGATAGTTTACCTGCAGGGTATATTTTTTTCCTTTTCCTCGTACCTACCCCAGAATAACTTTTTAGGTCCTCTGACAGAATGAAGCATTTTCCTTAGGAACTAACACAGAGAAAAAAAGAAAATTAATAGAAATGGTTACTACTTTCTTATGCTGTTACCGAAGTCTGTTTGTGAGTGGTGACTATGTATTCCTTCAGAAGAACTTCTTAGGGCATAAATATAACAATTTTCACTGAAGCAACAAAGTGCATTTTTGGTATTGGAGGTCTTCTCTCTTTTAATCCTCTTCCTAATAAGGTTATGGAGTTCATCTGGATGCCCCTAGGCCCTCTGGCTCTGGGGGAACCTGGATTGTATCATTGTGAATATTTATTGAGGCTGCACACTGAGCCCACAAAGAGACTTTTGTTGTTGTAATTGTGGAACTTAAGAGCAGTGTCCCTGTCTTAATGGCAGCCCCCAATCACCAATCACATGCCTTTTGATAGGATACCTCTCCCGGTTAGGATCATGTTTTGTCTAGCAGGCTTAAGCTTCTTTTTAAAACAATCTCCTTAAAAGCTAAGGAGATTTCTCTTTTACAACGAATTGATTTCAGCAGGTATACCAGAATATATTTTGAAATTAAAAATCTTTTTGCCTGCTAACTAATCTCAGAATCTAGTTCAGCTATTAAAACAGACTGTTTACCCTATTAGTTATGCGACATATTGTACCAATTTTATCTAGGTCTCCAAAGGCCCCGCACCTACCCCCCGGAGCCTCTAATCTTTGGCCTCTGTTGCAAACTGATCCTTGGGTACATCTGTTAGGCACGTGAGCCGTTCTGCTGAGGCAGGGTTTTTCAGATTAGACCAGTCCGTCAATGTTCAGGGGCCAGCACTCTCCAGGCCTTAGTGCCTTTGCATTGTTCCCTTGCTTGGGTTACTCAACATTCTCTACTGAGCATCTCCCATACCAGGCTTTGGGCTGGACACAGGGGAACGGAGAGGAATAAATCCCAGGAGTAGCCCTAGGAGGCTCCTAGCCGACTACCTAAGACGAAACAGAAACAAGTCGTTATGACTCCGTGTAGGAAGTGCTCTGCTGAGGTTCAGAGTCCTGGGGACGTATAGAGGGTCTCAACAGTCCCAGCTTTGAGCCTTCAGGCACCTGTACCTCTAACGGGTTTAAGGAAGGCAGCACCGTCAACAGATTGGAAAGACATCTGCCCAGGGCAGTGCAGCAGAGACGGGGGTGGACAGGGTGGGAAGCCAGGACAACGATTAGAAACCAATAGAGCGGCTCAGTCAAGAGACCTGGAGAGCTGGAGCTGTGGCGGGGACGGTGACGGCGGTGGCTGGAGCTGTGGCGGGGACGGTGACGGGGGTAGCTGGAGCTGTGGCAGGATGGTGACGGCGGTGGCTGGAGCTGTGGCGGGGCGGTGACGGTGACGGCGGTGGCTGGAGCTGTGGCAGGACGGTGACGGCGGTGGCTGGAGCTGTGGCGGGGCGGTGACGGCGGTGGCTGGAGCTGTGGTGGGGGACAGTGATGGTGGTGGCTGGAGCTGTGGCGGGGACGGTGACGGCGGTGGCTGGAGCTGTGGTGGGGGACAGTGATGGTGGT